CGAGGAGAGACCTGAATCCTAACAGTACAAGGAGGAATGAGGAGAGCCACTGCCATTAACTGAGCTCTCCGTAAGTGGTAGGAGATTCTGTGAACCTCAGCCAGGCTTCCTCTGCCTGTCCCTCTCTGCATGGCAGCAGGCCAGGTCACAGGAGCCTTGCCAGAGTTGGAGCCACGTCAATCTGATTCCAGAATGCACAATCCCTGCCAAGTGGACAAGATTAGGTACTGCCCTTGAGGGCTCAGCCTGGTAGAAAGATGGAGCCAGTATAAACAAAGATGGCCACCCCTTTCTGAGCCCCAGGAAGGGAGGCCAGCCTCCCTTTATCCACATGGAGCAGGAATGCACCTTTACTGTCTACCAGTGCCCTCGCAGCCAGCATGGTGCTTGGAGATCATTGCCATGTGAAAGAATGAGCCAAAGAGTGGACATTCAGTGGCTGGGCACCTGTCACCCCAGGTCTGTGCTAAACTGGAGTGCATAGAGCTAGGGCTGTGTACAAGCCCCTGTCTCAGGGCTGGCACCATGTGATGCAAGCAAGGCAAGATAACTTAAAGCCACCCAGAGGCCACTAAGGCATCCCCCTTGTTTCATCGTTGGAGAAGCAGGTACAGAAGAGTGAAGCGGAGTGGGTTGTCAAGACCGCAGCTGGAGCACAAGCAGATCTGCGCTCCCAGGATGTCTCCTTTTCTCACACTCTAGTGTGATGCAGCTCAATGTCCCTCACAGACCCAGAGGATTTGGAAGGTGCTGCGCCCCCAGCACATGCCCAGGGAGCATATTCCAGGTTGTCTCCAACACGGGCCAGGGATTCCTGTGTGCAGAGCTCTGAGTCTCTGGAGCCTGCTGGGTGCAGAATACAGCAGCGAGCCAGCACCAGGCAGGCCAGAGCTGAGCCTAGAGCTGGTGAGCAGGGTCGGGACACGACACTCCTGAGCGCTTGCTTCTCTCCTGCCACATACAACACCCTCACTGACAGTCCTGTTGCAGGTCAGTGTGTCTGTCTCTTTAACTATCCAGCAGTATCCTCAGGAATGCGGCACACAGGAATGTGCATAGCCATGCTGTGACAGGATGGGGCTTGCTGGCCTGTGACACCTTGAGTGGTGACATTGGCTCAGCAGCACCAGGCACACTTCCTAGGGTTTGCAGGCTGAGATGGGGGTGATCTTAGATGGTGTCCTGGGTTCTCCTCCCACTGGCCTCACATCCTCAGGGCCTCTGTGTCCCTGCAGCCTTCCTCCCTCAGGGTAGCCTAGACCTCCTTACATGGCAACTGGCCATTAGGAGAGTGAAAACAGAAGTTTCTAGGTGCGGGTGCCACATGGGCTCTGTTGGTAAACGCCAATCAAAATGCCAGTCTAGGGTCAGTAGGGGAGAATAGACTCCACCCTGGGATGGGAGGGAGGTAAAATCTCAAAGCCAAAAGGGATGCAGGGGACATTGAGGTCCCCGTGAGAGGGAAAGCACTGGCTTTGGAGGCAATGAGACTCCTCCGTAACAGCATCAGATGCCGCGTTGTCAAAGTCCACCCTGTGTGCCAGGGCACTGGGACAAACAACCTCATCATCTATGTTGAATGCATAAGGACATAGCAAGTTAAAGTCACACAGCAGCGAAGTGACAGTTGGGACTTGAACTGAGGCAGCCTGTTCAGGAGAGGGTACCCTGGCATGAACTAAGTCCCAGACTCCCAGCACCCAGAGGCATGAAGTCCACTCCTGCCTCAGTGCCCATTGGGCAGCTCTCAGTCTCTGTTTCCCTGCTGTGAGAGGTGTCCGTGTCTGTCATATTGCCTTGAACCTCAGGATCGGTGATGAGCACTCTGAGGGCCACCGGCTGTAACTCTTCCCAAGTCCCATCCCTTCCCCCAAACAGCTCGCAACTCCATGGGGTGGAGAGAACCAGCCACCTCCCACCCCTCAGGCTCCTGTGCTCCGCACTGCCACCTGTGTCTGCATTTGCATGTGCACAGCGCCCCAAGCGGAGGTAAGGAAGTAAGAGCACGAATGACACCCGAAGGAGGAAGAGAGACTGTGGACAGAGTCTGGAAGGGGATGGGGGAAAGGGCCAAGGAAGTGGCCAGGAAGTGATGGACACACGAGGAGGGAAATTGCTGGGAAGAGGCGTCACTCACAGGTTTGCATGGAGTTCCCAAGAGGAAAATGGCAAAGCAAAGCAAGCCACTGAGGCTTGCAGCGCTGGGCCCCGTGTGAGCACTTCTAGCTTCCATCAGCAACTGCGGTAGTAAAACACCTGATAGCCGGAACATTATGAAGAAGGACAAGCTGGTTCAGCTCAGGATTCTAGAGGCTGGGAGGTCCCAGAACACGATGCCGTGCCAGCTCTGCTTGGTATCTGGGGCAGGGAGGGCTCTTGCTCACTCCTCACATTGGGGAGCTGCTGGCTGTGGTCTCCCTCTTTTCACCAATCCACTCATTCTGTTAGGTGGGCCACAACCTTCCAACAAATGCCAATTATCTGCCCAAGTCACCACCTACCAGGGTCATTCACATAGGACTTTGAGGATATATTCAAATCACAGCAAAACCACCCCTACCCTCCACCATGCCACAGGTGACAATCATAGTGGAGGCACAGCAATCAAAACTAATGGAGGAGCCAGAGCTGGAACTTGGGTGTTTGATGCAAACTCAGTTCCTGCAACACCATGGAGATCTCTACCTGTGTGAGCTACAAGCTTGGGTGTTGTCAGTGTGGTGGTGGTGGTGTTTGTGGTACCCAGAGCTCACTGATGCTTGCCCAGTGAAGGGACACAGAGCTGGAAATACTACAAAGACCACTGCAAGTGCACCCGACCTTGGATGCTAAGACAGGGAGCCTGTAGCTACTTGGGGAAATAGTGGAGTCATCATGAAAAAAAAATTAACAGAGAGATATAGATCAATAGCCAAGGGGACCTCAAACCCAAGAGTCACTTTACTGAAACTCATGCCTGTGCTTCCAAGGTGGCCAGATGGCAGTCTCAGCCCCAAATCCTACCCCCACCAGGAGGTTGAGCCACTCAGCTGGGGTCCCCGCTGATATCTGGACCCCACCTGAAGAGCATGGCTTCAGCAGCCTTGGGACCTAGAGATTCAGAAAAGCGGCCAGGATCAGGAACCACCTGAAGATGCAGGGACCAGGAGACAAAAGTAAGACAACATGCTGGACGTGAGAGGAGAAACAGCAGAGGCCAAGGGAAGGCAAACTGAGAAACAAGAGGAGGAGAGCAAGCAGGAAAAGATGTGCAAGACAAGGAGCAAGTCAGAGACTACAGAGCTTCTGCTGGCCCCTGCAGACTGCCTCCTAGAGGGACTGGGCCTTGTTGTCCAGGATGACTGTGGCCGCCCAGGCCCTGCTAGCACCTGCTGCTCCACGTTGGGAACTTCTGTCCGCTGCTGTCTATCCTGGATCTTGGTGGGCAGTCCAGGCCACCAGCCCTCCCTGACCCCTCCTTGTCACTCAGCAGATGGGCCTAGGTCATTGTATTTCATGGATCTTCTTTAGCCACGAACAGAGGCCCCTAGGCTAGGTCTGTTCCCCTTTCTGCAAATGACCCCCATGGCTGCTCTTTGCCCACCTGGTGAAGTGGCCTGTGCTACTTCCACTGCCAGTCTCCTGCTGCTCCTCACCTTCCTGCTGGTGCCAAGATTCCTGCCCCAGATCTCAGGAGGGTCCTGCATCCCTTCCCCAGGTCCCCAGTAGAGTGAAGTCTTACAGGCCCCTCCACGCCTCCTCTGGGTACCTTGCTGCTGGCTTGGATCTCCCTGAGCTGGTTTATTCCCCTGCAGCCTCAGGAAAGCAACTTCATTAAGGAAACTGCATTGGGCTGAGCTGCGCAGGAGCAGAAGCTGCTGTTGGCTGCTGCCACCACCACCTCCACCCCTCCTCCTCCACAGCCTGGGGAGCCTCTTGCTCTCTGCTCCTTCTCCTCAGACCAAGGCCTGGGCAGAAGGGTTGACGGCTCCACCTGGCGCCCTCTCCCCAGCTGCTCCTATCCCCTCTCTCATGCGGTGGCTTCAGGCGTGCAGTGGGGCATGGACCCCACTCCATGTCCAGCTGGGTACAATAGCAGAGGCTCTGATTCTGCATCCCCTGTCACGGACATGACCTCTCCTTGTGGTGTAGCAGCCGGCTTCACTTGCAAGCTCTAATCTGCTCCAGGTGGCATTAGGGTGACAGGCCCACAAATAATGATTTCTATGGACACCACGTGAATGGATTCCATCAGAGTCCTGGGGAGCCTGCTTTGTGTATCCCAATCTAAGAGACCTGGTTCCACTCCCACCCATCCCCAACCCCTGCTCCTGGGGTCCTGTCCTCGCCTAAGAAGCCCTCAGAGAGAGAGAGAGAGTAGCAGCAAGCCGCTGCATCCCTCAGGGCCAACAGACCTTCAAATAAATACACCCTAGCCACACACAATAGTGGCCCAGATGGCTCCTGAGCCCCACTGGGCAGCAGGGCCTCCTCCAGGGAGAAGCAGACCCCAGCCCACTACCCAGGCTTGTGCCACTGCAAGCTTGCATCAGGCTGGCTCTTTCTGCAGGCACCCCAGCTCCATGTGCTGTTTCCTCAGGGAAGGACCGCAAAATGTCACATCTGAGACATCGCTCTTCCCGTCCTTCCCTTCCCCAGTCGTCTGATGAAAGGGGGGACACACACCCTAAAATCCAGGCTCACAAACCACAGTCCCTGCTGGGCCTGATTGCCATCCACTCAGCAGCCTATCTGAGCAGGTGGGGGCGGGGGGAATGCGGCGGAAAGGGCAGCTGGAAAGCATGGCAGGAGTTCCGTTTACCCTGTGACCTGGGGCAGCACTAACCAGATTCTAGGTAGTGGTCAGGGTCAGGAGAGGCTGCAGATGGGAGTGCCTTAACGCAGTGAGAACTGGCCCACCCCAGGGGCCTACCTGGCTGGTGGTGGGGATCCACACCTCCCACCCCCTAGAGCCCCCACCTGCCATGTCCACCTAATGCCACAGCTGTCCCTTTCCACAGACGTTCCGGTGGCCGGTAGCCAGCGGCATCGACAGAAATGAAATGCTGGAGATTCAGATTTTCAACTATAGCAAAGTCTTCAGTAACAAGTGAGTTTGGGGCAGTGTGGGAGAGATGGGGCCTGGAAGGGCTGGGGTACTCGTCCCTGCCCTGCCCTGGATTGATATTCAAAGAAGTGTCGGGCTGATGTTTTAAAAGTATATATTTATTTGAAAGGCAGAATTACAGAGAGAGAGAAAGAGATCTTCCATCTGCTGGTTCACTACCCAGATTGCCACAACAGTAGAAGCTGCACCAGTCCAAAGCCAGGAGCCAAAAGCTTCTTTCAGATCTCCCACATAGGTTGCAGGGTCCCAAGGCCTTGGGCCATCCTCCTCTGAGGGGGCTGAATCAGAAGCAGAGCAGTCAGGTCTTAAACCGATGCCTTTATGGGCAGCTGGTGCCACAGGTGCTGCCCTGTGGTACCTATATACCAGCTATACCACAGTGCTGGCCTCCATCTTGATCTTGCTCCCCGTGTGTCATCAGAGTTCCCAAGCCCACCCCAGGGCTTGTCAGCCAAGTTCACTCTCCCTACTTTCTCCTGTGTGGGAATAGGAGGGAGGGAAGAAGAGGGCAATATGGATCAACACCTTCCCTCGTGCTGCCATTAAGAGCATCTAATTGAAACCTTAACTTCCAACATTATCAGGTGGCTGTTGATTCTTCAGTTTCTCAAGCACTCACATTCATATATAGCCAGGGGCTGCTGGAGATGCAGCAGGACAGCCCTAAGCCTGTTCAGCCCCACCTGGAACAAGGGCCCCCTTCCAGAAGTGTCCAGCTTTCTTGTGAGGTCAGGGTGTTGGGTTCCCCAGATCTTGCACATTCAGCTCTGCCAGTGATGTACCCTCAAGAGGCATTGGTCCCTGGCTTGGCCGCCAGCCTCCCAGATTCTGAGGATGCCAGGATGCCTGAATAATTCAGGAGCCAGGAGCGCAGTGGAGGCTTGGCTCAGGCACCTGACACTGGCTCCCAAGGGGACATGATGAATTATTGACAGATGAGTGGTGCCTGCCAGCCGCTCTGTTCTGCCCTGTCCAGGAGCCTGGCTGCATCTGAGGCCTCCCTACCCCCTGCAAGTGAATTGCCTGAGAGGCCCAGCCCAGGCCTTCCCTGCCTGCCCGGCTCCTCCGTGAGACCCAGCTGGCCTCACATGAGCTGTGCTCATTTTGTGATAGGTGACTTGGATAGGCCCTAGGGTTCGAGCTCAGCTCCTTCATCTCACAGCCCAGGGAACCTTGTCCAGGATCATGCAGCCGAGTCATGTCAGGGCTGGGTCTTCAACACAGACCTCTGGAAGCCTGGGCCAGTGTTCCCTCCCACAGAGCAGGTGGTTGGACACTGTCAATGCCCGAGAGATGATCCAGCTGTCCAGGGGGCATAGGAGCCCACCTGTGTCAGTCGGCAAGGCCTGCCCTTCCATGCTGAGCTCCCTTTTCTGCCACCCCCAGTGCATTGAGACCCTGAACAAAGCACGGCTGCAGTGAACACCAGGGCCAGATCCCAGATTTCCCCTGCCCTTCCTGGGCCCAGATCCTTCTCCTCCAGGGAAGTGCCACAGAGAGTCGCGGTTGAGGGGTGGTGGCATGAGGGCACCCCGTTCTGCAGCAGTTTTCCTAGTGAGCACCTGTTCATGCACCTACAGACAGTATGGAACATACTTGGAAAAGAGTACAGAATGCACCTGTAAAAAAAAAAAAAAAAAAAAAAGAGCAGCATGTTGTACAAATGTTTTTCCATGCACTTCACATAAAACCGAGATACTATCAATTTTGCATTTCAAAAAATACTATGTTTTACCATTTTTATTTGGAGGAAGTTGCAAAGGTGGGGATTCCATCTGCAGTTAAAGCCCCTTGGAGTGACTCCTCCTCTGGCTGTGCAATGCCCCCACCCAGGACCAAAGACAACATGCCCCTTGCCCCCTGCAGAGAAAGAGGCCAGTCCTACTCGAACCAGGGTGGGGAAGGCTGTATATGGGTGGAGGGAGGCATGGCAGAGTTCTCAGGAGGCTGACCCTTGGGAGATAAGAGGAGGGAGGACGGCTGGGACTCCCACAGCTGCCAGCAGTTGGAATCCCCCTTGGACCTTCAGGCTGCTCTCCATATGCCTCTCTTCAGCGGTGGCCTTTAGTCTGACTGTGGACAGATATGGACCAGGGCTGGTGGGAGAGCTCAGCTCCCTGTGTGATTAAAACAATGAAACAGGGATTAACCATGAGAGCCCTGTCTTCATCCCTGTCACCATCAAGGTCACCAGGCAGTCTCACAGAATCTGGGAGCCTGTGTCAGGAAGGATCTCTCCCACCTGGTCCTGAAAGTAGAGCTGGCCAAGCCCCCAAGTTCAAGGGCAGAGACTGTTGAAGCTCAGGAGGAGCACCTTCTGAGTATACCTGGTGGGAACAGCTCTCCCTTGCCCCCTGGAGGTGTCTGGTCACATTGCAACATCCCTCTGATCCAACCTCCCTTTGCAATCCTGAGCATCCAAGAACAGGAAGACATGAGCAGTGGCCTGAGGAGCCATGAGCAAGCGATGATGTAGAACAGACAGCTTGATGGTGCTCTCTGTGCCAGCATCACAACATGGGCTGGAAACACGTTCTTGCACCCCATCCCTGTTTCTCAACCATCGTTCTGGGACAAGATCAGTACTCTGACCCAGTTGGCTCAGTTGGCTGTGAGTTCACTGATTTACATTAAAAGCTTGACATGGCCCGTGGTGGGAGCTAGAGATTGTGGTGGGGGGACACAGACCTCTGGCCAGCATGTCCTGTGTATGAGTCTAACCTCCAGATGGCTCTGTTTAAGGTGAAGTCTGAGAAAAACCAAAGGAGGCAGGGCTACCACACTCCTCTTCACCCCCCTCCACCCTGTGGATTGTCCCCCCAGCCTTCCTCCCTCCAGCTGGGAGTGGGTTGCAAGCTTTAATCTACCCCATATGGAAGCACTGTAGGTAGTTTTCTGCCATCTCCCAAGCAACAGACTTCTAGCCATAGGATGAGATGGGTTCCAGTCAACTCCATCAGCATACACTGACCACCCACTGTGGTTCATTTATTCAGCCAGCAGATGTCTAGCAGATGGGAAAAATCAGTGGTTGCCCACCGACTGCCACTTGAGAGAGCCATGGCATCAGTAACACTGGTTGACCTGGGCTGGGACTCCAGTGAGCCCTAACAGAGCTGCTCAGGGAGCCCCCACACCACAACCCCATGAAGGAGGGGTTCCTGTTTGTTTTCTGAGGCAACCAAGCATACAAACACTTAGCTAAATCACCCAAAAAGCAGGCAATTCATGGACTTGAGTCTGCCTCTCTGCCCCAAGACCATGTCCTTCAACACGTCATCATGCTGCCCATCCATTCTCTACTGCTGGGAACATGGGAATTCTGCAGCAGCGTGAGCCCTTGCCTCCAGGAGTTTACAGGCTGCAGATGTGGGATGAACGAGCCATGCATGTTGGTAAAGGGGTGGATGCTGTGGTCGCAGCTAGGGACAGGGGAGGGAGCTTACCTGTGTCTCCAGGAGCTTTGGCCCTCCCCCAGCAATACCCACACTGGGCATCTGGAAGCTGCTCTTCAGGGACTCAGCTAGAGCTAGAGTCCTTGCCACCTTGGCCCCCACAGTTCAGAGAGCCACTGTCCCTCAGAGCCACCCCCCCACCACCAAAAGGGAAACGCGACTGACACAAAGCTGGGTATGGAAGCAGGGAGAGTTGGAGAGGCTTCTCCTATCCCAGCCTGGAGCCTCCACCAATGCACCTGCCTGCCCCATCCTGATACACTCAACCTAGCCAATCACAGCCTTGCCCTGCCCTTCACTCCAGCCCCACTTTTCATCCCTCTGTGTTTCCAGGCTCATTGGGACCTTCCGCATGGTGCTACAGCAGGTGGTGGAGCAGAGTCATGTGGAGGTGACGGACACGCTGATGGATGACAATAATGCAATCATCAAGGTGGGACGCCCAGAGTCCCTGAGCTGTCCCACAGGGAGGGGTGGCCTGGGAGCTTGCGTCCCCTGCCTCTGCCCTACACCTGGGTGACCTCAGGAACTCTCTGTGTGCCTGGCCTGGGAGGCAGCAAGACGGGGAGACCAGGGTCCCACTCCTGGAGCTGCTCTGTGTGAAAGCCAGGATGGAGTCCCTGCAGCATGTGGGGTTCTGCTGTCCTGGAGTGGATACCCCACCCTTCCTGCAGAGAGACGCCCAGGGAAGGGTGCTGGTGACACCCTCTCTTCCATCAGTGGTCCTTCTATTTGGACGTGGCTTAGGTATCACTTCAGAAGCTTCTCGCATCACCTAGCGGCTGGCTGAGACCTGCTGGCCTCCCCAGAGTATAGTCTTCATGCCGCTCATCTGGCTTCTCTCCAAGACAGGACACTCTGGGCAGGCAGGAACCTCAGTTTCCCATGCATGGGTCACACAGCTCAGCCTTCAGCAGGCATGCGTGGCATGAGTGCTGCATTGCCCGTGAGCCCTGAGCATGTGTTCCCACAAAGGCATCCTGGAGGTCTGCCTGCTCCACTGTTGCCAGAAACAGGTCCAGAAAGTACACATACCTTCCCCTTCCCCAGGCACTAGGGGCAAGACACCTCCAGGCCTGTGAAAAAGGGGGACCCCTGTTGCCCAGGTGGGCTAAAGAAAGTTCTAAAGGGAGCCTTCCCTATGCCCTGTGGGGGGCGGGTGGGCTGGTGAGCTGAAAGGAGAGGAAGTAACCCAAGGAGATAGAGCAAAAGGCCAATCAGGATTTTCAGTGGTCGCACCTGTGCCCAGCCTTGCTGCTGTACTTCCTCCCAGTGCACAAGCCCTGGGCACCCCCAAGGTCCCCTCCCTTCCAGGACAGGAAGGATGGGGGTCAGATGAGGATGGGGGTCAGGGGTGGGCTGGCGGATGTTGACCCCATGCCTACAAAAGGAGTCCAGGCCCATGGTCCCCTCCCATGGGCACACTGTGCGCACTCCGGCCCATTTCCTGGCAGCCCTACTTCTAAGACAGGAGGTGACCAAGTGCAGCTGGCTCCCAGGAAGCTGATCTGCACCTGCCAGTCTTCTGGCATGTCCTCTTTGGCACATGGGCTGGTGGGAAGGGGAGAACATGCAGTGTGCCCTCCCCAGGTGGGTGAGAGATGGAAGAACAGCTTGTGGTTCCTTTTGCACAGTGGCCAGTGGCAGCAGAGACTGTCACCTCAGCTGTTCACTACCACACCCCTCTCCTTACAGACCAGCTTGAGTGTGGAGGTCCGGTACCAGGCCGTGGATGGCACAATGGGCTCCTGGGACGATGGGGACTTTCTGGGGGATGAGTCTCTTCAAGAGGAAGAGAAGGACAGCCAGGAGACGGACGGCCTGCTGCCTGGCTCCCGGCCCAGCTCCCGGCCTCCTGGCGAGAAGAGCTTCCGCAGGTAACAGGCCGAGCCCCCAGAAAGACCAGTAGTTTGCCAAAGGCCTCCCCTCTCCCAACTGGCCCCTGCAGGCCTGAAGGAGCTCATGTGCAGATCTTCACCACTGAAGGGACCCAGGAGAGGTGGAGGGCATTTCTGCTCCCTGAGGCAGGCACAAGAGCTCAACCAGGCACCCCCAGCCCAGGGAGAAGGCCCGGGAGGGTGGGTTGGAAATGAGAAGGAAGGCCAAGACCACCTGCCTTCCTCAGAGGATAGAAGAAGGGGACGGGAGTTCTGGCTTATCTGGTTCAACGCCCAGAGGTGCCAACTCTCATCCCTGGGGACCCAGGGTTCCCACACTGCACACAGATGGCAGGAGGTGGTCCAGGACTGGTCATTCCAATGCTCAATTTTTGTTTTTGGGTTTTTTTTTTAAAAAAGGAAGACACAGCTAATTGTCTTCCTCTTTGAGCCCAGAGGGATGGAACCTAGGCCCAGCCAGGCCAGCATTGTACATGGCTGCCAGGGTCCCCGGGAGGTGAGAGGGCATCTCAGGATCCCCCATGACTTGGCTTCCCAACAGCACAAGCTGACTCGGCTCCTGGCTAGAAAAACCCAAGACTGAGGTATTGTTTTCCAACTGATCAGATGTGGGGTTTTTTTCTTTTTTTTTTTTATTTTAAAGATTTATTTTATTTTTATTGGAAAGTCAGATATAGAGAGAGGAGAGACAGAAAGAAAGATCTTCCATCCGATGATTCACTCCCCAAGTGGCCATAATGGCTGGAGCTGTGCCAATCTGAAGCCAGGAGCCAGGAGCCTCTTCCAGATCTCCCATGCAGGTACAGGGTCCCAAGGCTTTTAGCTATCCTCAACTGCTTTTCCAGGCCACAGGCAGGGAGCTGAATGAGAAGCAGGGCTTCTGGGATGAGAACCAGGGCCTATATGGGATCCTGGTGCTTGCAAGGCGAGGACTTTATCCACTAGGCTACCACGCTGGGCCTGGATGTGTTTTTTTTTTTTTTTTCTTACACTGGAACCACTTTCCTCTACTCTCACAGGAAAGCTTGCTAAAACACCCGGAGGCACCAGGTGGCAGAGGCAGAGCAGCAAGGTCCAAGTGACCGGGCCTGAGCCAAGCACAGCACAGTGCCTACCTTGGGCTGGCAGGGACCTGACCACTCCATCTTAGAGGCCCAGTGGCCTGAGGGCCAGCTCTGCCTCAGGCAATCCCTGGAGCCCTCTCTCCACCGTTCTGTCATTGTTGGAGGGGCCAGAGAAGGACAGGTTGAATGTGGAGTGGGGTACTGTCTATGGGACTGCTGGTGACATGTTCTTTGTAGGGGGCCAGGGTCAGGAACAGGGCTGGCAGTGATAAAAGGAACAGAGGCATGACAAGGGGGCACTGCTACTGATGGGGCCCCCTATCCTTTAAAGAAAGGCCTAGCATGGGCAGAGAGGGGAGGCTGTGGGGTAAGGGGTCTCTAAACAAGGGCTTTCTGAGACCTGTAGAGGAAGTCATATAAGCTCCAAGACTTACAGAGAGAAGAGTGCCAAGTTTCCTGTGTCACTACCAGGGACATTGTCTGCCCTGCTGGGCCAGGCAGAGGAGAGGGTTCTGCAGCTGTGACATCGGCCCAGATCCACAGAGCGTAGCTCTCCTGGGAGCCCCCGGCAGCTTGGAGCAGCTGATCCTGAAGCAGCTGCGGCTCAGGCTGCAATTCCCAGACAAAACAAGACAAAACGTACATACCCAGGGGACTCCAGAACATTGTGGGCCCCAGGACCGCACAGCTGAGGACTCCTCCTTTCTTACTGGCACCATGACCTGGCACCCCCCCTTGTGCCCATCTTCACGAGCACAGCAGGAAACAGAGCAGGGGGAGACACTTGGCAGTTGGGAGAGGATGACAACTGCACCCAGATCCCTGGCCTGCAGGTGTCACTGCCCCCACGTAGGGTTGAGCCCTCTCCCCAGCTGCCACTGAAGCTCCCTACCCAGGCATGAGAGTCCCTTGGGAATGGATGTCATCTCCCCATCCCCTGCCCAGCTTAGCCATGCATCCTCCAGGCTCTGGAGGACAGGGGTGTGGATGCCCAAAGGATGCCTGCCCCCAACATCAGCCTCCCTGCTGTTCCTGGGAGGGGCCTGCTAAGCACCTGCCTGGAGACACTCAGTCCACACTCCCTCCCATTTTCACCTCATAGACTGGGGAGGCATAGATGCTGTTGGTCAGGGACCAGGTGAGCCACTGCTGCTGGCCAGCAGTAGGGTTTTGTATTGCTCATGCTTGGCTGAAGCTATGGGCCCACAAGGGGATTGGCCTTCCCACCAGGGGCTGGCAGGCAGGAGGAGGAGGGGAAGAGGAGCACCCAGGCTAGGGGTCCTGTGAAGCCAACTTCCCAGGGTCTCCTCAGCACCTCTGTGCACTTTAATACACAGCCTGAGGCAGGCAACCAGAATTCAAATGCAGAAGACCCCAGCTTCTTGAGACCAGTCTTACCTGCACAGGACCCCCCATATCTAGAGTTTTTGCAATCCAACACTCCCCGAACACACACACACACACACACACACACACCCGCCCCCCCCCCACCCCCTGCCCCCTAACTGGATTCTAGCCACCTGCCCCAGCCTGCACCTGTTTCTCCCAGACCTCACCTGTTTTCCTCCTGACCTCACCCTGGGCTCAGCTGGTTTGCAGAAGGGCTGGTGTAGACCTCACCTCTCAGCTCCTGTGAGGTACACAAGCTGGAAGGGCCCTCTGTGGGCTCTGCCTCTGTCATCCCCCAAACGCCCAAGGTCCCCCCATTTTCCTTAGCCACAGCTCTGCCCAGAAGCCCCTAGCCCTCCCACTGCCCCTCCATCCTTCCTAAGCCCTGTGCAATGCCAGGCATCTGGGCACCTTCTCCTGTCCCCATCCCCCAAGCAGGATGCCTCACACCCCTGCAAGTTCTTTACCCTAGAGCCCCCAGAATGAGTCAGGAGGCCAGGCAGTGCAAGGGCACATGCAGAGCTCCACTCCCACCAGATGAGCACAGGAGCATTGGAATTAAAGGAAGGGGCTGGCATGTGGCAGGTGCTCAACCAGGGTTCCTTCCTTTTCTCCTCTTCTTCACAGACACCTAGCCACCCAACCCCCAACTTTTCCAGCTCTGAGATTTGAGCTGTGAGTAAACCCCTTCTCAGCTCCTCCAAGGACTCTGCAAATAGTGCCGCAACAGGAACAAGGGATCTTCATTACTCACCCCTACCTCTCCAGGCTGTCCTTGTGGCAGGGGAGGAAAGAAGGTGCTCCCTGTAGGCATGGTTCTCAGAAGCACAGAACCTGGGCTTTGGGCCCTGTGTGCCAGCAAGCATCTGTGCCAGCTCCTGGAGAGAAAGGAGCCTTGGGTCCTGAACACACACACACGCACACGCGTGCCTGGGTAGCTGTGTATTTATATGCACATTCCATGCATGACACCATGCAGTTTGGGGTGCTGCTCCCAGGCCCAGAAGCCACATCTTAGAAACAAACACAGAGGAGCCCACCTTGACCCTGTGGCTCAGCACCCAAGCCGTGGGCCTTTCCCTGGCTTCCCTGTGCCCTGCACTCTCTCCTCCCTCTCCCCTCTTGTGTTCTCCTCTGGGCCTGGTCCTCCTTCCCCCTCACTGCTTGTTGACCCCTTCTCCTCCTCCTTCATGGCCACCCCCATCTCCAGTGACCCCAGGAAGGCAGCAGGGCTCCCAGCTGTGCCGCTGTCTGTCTGGTCTCACTCATCTTGTCCTCAAAGTGGGTCATTCTTCCATCCCAGGGGAGACCTAGGAAAGCCATGTTCCACACTCCACACCAGGGCTAGGACAGCTGGGCATGTGCGCACAGGTGTCCCAGGAAAACCTGGCACCACGCTCATGATCCAGGTCCTTGCCTGTCTGCCAGGGGCCATGGGCAGGCTGAGCCTTGGAGCCTCATCGGGAGCACAGGGTGAGGATGAGGCCCCTCCAGGATGGTGGGCAGGTTGGAAGACAGGGCCTCACAGTTATGGCTAGTGTCAGAGGCAGGACTCACATGGCTTGGGTAAATAGGAAAGGTTCCTCTTTTGGTTGAGATGGACAGTCCTGTTCCTTCCCCATTTCTTCACCTGGACAGGAAGTGGGGGCATCTTCATGTGTCTCCTTCCCTGCCCAGCAACCTACAGCATGGGAGGAGGGGACAGAGCAGGCATGGGGAGGATGTGGGGGTGTCCCTTTGGGTGAACCCAACCTCTCCCACTCCCTCTCTGGCTCCTCTACTGAAGAGCTTTTCAAATTTCCCAGAACCCTAGAATTCTTCAGGAAGTGAAAACCCGGTATGAGAATTCAGAGAAAGGCAGCCCTGCTGGGATTAATGAGGCTGGGGCGGGATAGGGGGAAGTGGGAACAGTGGAGCTCCCCAGGGGGCCACACAGAGGCAAACCCTGGGGAGCCCTGCATGGAGAAGATGCTAAGGGGAGGGGAGCCTGGACTGCACGTTGAGACCAACCAGCCAAGGCAGGGCTGTGGACTTCTTCACACTGCTCTGCAGGGAACTGCTCTCTGCTCAGGGCTCTCACCTGGCTTGGGTAGCCAGAGACCAAACCAGTGGTTCCTGAAGGCTACCTAGCCAGGCTGCACTTCAGCTGTGCCCCTGTCCAGGCCTTGGGTCCCTGCCCAACTGCCCAGGTTTTGAGCCAAAGCTACCTGGGTAAGCCCTGTGCCAGCCATTGTGTAAGGAAAGGAAACAATTTTTTCTTGCTACTCAGTGTATGGTCTTCATCTGCATTATAACATTGGGAAAGACTTAAGAGGACATTCTAGAAAGATTTTCTGCCTCCCTGGCCTCCTTCATTCTCTCATTTCAGGTTCTGCCTCTGTGTTCCTCTTGGCTGAATTGGGTGCGGGGAAGCAGGGGGTCACAGCCTTCAGGGTGGCCAGGCTCACCCACTCTTTTCTTCCCTGAGGAACCTGCCACCCACATTCTGGAATCCATAGACCCAGCCTGGGGTTCAGGAAATCTGGG